TTTAGGATGTTGTGGTTTGTCAGAAATCCGCATATGTGTGAAGGTTGAGAACGTGCCAGTGAGTTCCGTCCCACTGCAGAAAAGGCATCCCATTGCGTAAGTTCATTGGCCACTATCTATCGCTTTACAAGAAATATCTGATGATCTTGGCCTGTGGAATTCTGCAATCTCTCAGTTTCCTACAGCAGAAACAAATCTCAGTCAGTTCTGATTATACCTTTTCTCAATGTGGTAAACTAATGCATGAACATCTGAAATGCAGTCAGTTAACATGAGACCTCTTGAGCCTCGGTGTGATATTCATGCAGTGCCAGCAACCCTCGACTAAGTCTATCTCTGGTATCAATGCTCCATCTTTGCAGAAGAGTGTTACATGATACTGTTTCACTCAGTGCACACTTGCAGATTTGGGTTTCTAATACTTGGGTTTCTGGTTTTCATAGGTCATGAAATGGACGAGTGCACAGGACTACCCAAGGAGAAGGCAGGGGAGGTAGGTCCAATACGGCAAGTCTAAATTTCTCCAGTAATTGGTCAGCCATCCAGCCATTTACAAAATATCTGCCCAGTTGAAATACTTCCCCCCAGCCTGTCTCTTAGGCAGTGAAGGGGTACCCTGAATGTACGCGTAATGGTCTGTCTTTCGTTTAAGCTGTGTCTGAATCTTGTGTTGAGAGCTACCTGTAGGTCTGGGCACTTGTGGGCTGCAAGCATCTAGGTTTTAATGCGGACAGTACAGGTGGCCATTGCTCTTGAAGCCCATTCTGACATCGGCTACGTACTGTTTTGGTTTCACATCTTTTGTTTCTAATCCAGTTTGATGAGCTTCCCCCACCTTCTGGCGAGGAGACACAATTTATTTTCTTACGGCTCAACATCTTAAGAGAGGTACATTTCTATAGATGGTTTGTAATATAAAGAATGTGGTGAAAGGAGAGATGAGTCTAGTTCCCTGACTTTGATCAGGTCAAATATGGACTAGCCCCAGGCTATTTTGATTGCCAGGAGTTGCAAAATTACATTATCATTTTTTTCCCTTTCCCATCGCTATTTTTTTCATTCTGAGCATCCACTCTGCCTAAAATATTAATCCTTCCCATCTCAGCATTTACCTGGATTGCGTGTGGTTTTTAATTTTTCCCTGCATACCGCTATTTTTTTATTCCAAGCTTCCAACCCATCAAAATACTAAATCCTCTCTTGTCAGCAATTCTTTATCCAAACCTAGACCACATGTTTTATTGTTCTCCCTGACCCTACGTAATCATCATTTTTTATTCTGAGCTAATCATCATTTTTTATTCTGAGCTTCCAACACATCAATTTATTAATCCTTCCCATCTCTGCATTTCCTTTTCCCAACCTGGACCACTTGTGGTTCTTATTTTCTCTGCCCCACCGCTATTTTTTTTATGCTGAGCATGCAACCCTCCAAAGTTTCTACCCAAACAGGATTGGGTGTGGTTTTTATTTTCTCTGCCCACCGCATAATCATTGCCTTTTTTCCGAGCATCCACCTGCCCAAAATATTATTAATCCTCCCATCTCAGCAGTTCTTTATGCAACCTGGATCAAACGTTGTTTTATTTTTCCCCTGACCCCACATTATTATTTTTATTCCGAGCATCCAACCCGTCAATAATATTAATCTTTCCCATCTCAGCATTTTTTTATCCAAACCTGGACCATATGTTTTTCTGTTTTTTTTGGTGTGGTTTGGTTTTTCCCTGACCCCGCGTAATCAGTATTTTTATTCCAAGCATGCATCCAACCCGTCAAAAATATTGATACTCCCATCTCAGCATTTTTTTATCCAAACCTGGACCTCGTGTGTGTGGTTTTTTTTTCCTGAGCCTGCGTAATCATTATTTATATTCTGAGCATCTTCCAACACATCAATTTATTAATCCTTCCCATCTCAGCATTTCCTTCTCCCAACCTGGACCACTTGTGGTTTTTATTTTTTCTCTGTCCTACCGCTAAATGTATTTTTATGCCGAGGATTCAACCCTCCAAAGTTTCTACCCAAAACTGGATCGGATGTGGGTTTTTATTTTTGTTTATTTTTTCCGAGCGTCCACCCTGCCCAAAATATTAATCTTTCCCATCTTAGCATTTCTTTTATCAAACCTGGACCTCGTGTGGTTTTTATTTATTTGTTGCTCCGTCGCTAAATACTAATGTTTTAACTCTGAGTGTGGGTTTAATTTTTCCCCGCCCAACTGCGTAATCTATTTTTTCTACTCCAAGCATCCAATCCTCCAAGTATATCAATCTTCCCATCTCGGTGTTTCTTTATCCAAATCTGGACCATTTGTTGATTTTATTGTTTTCCTGTCCTATGGTGTTATTATTTTTATTACAAGCATCCAAACCACCAACGTTCTTCGCATTCTTTTCACCTTGCTGCGGTTCTCGCGGGCAAGGGAAATATTAACAATGCCAGTGACTTTAGCGTGGGATTGGTGAGGAATGTAAAGAATTGAAGAGAATGAAACGAAGCTTGCAAACATGCAAAGTTTTTTGATCCTGTTGCTAATTTGTTCAGTCCAGGCTCAGTCCAAATTAACGTCCCCAATAACGTTCTTTATGTTTCTGATCGTGACAATTCTTTTTCAAAACAAGGCCAACTTATACAAGGCAAATCAGTGCAAATTCCTACCTCCTTGATCCGTGGCAGCGCTCCGCGCCGGCTGTATGTCATAAAATGCGTTCGGCCGTGAACCATTGTTATGCATGTTTTCTACCAGCGCCGTACGGCGCCGCACATCGGCGGGCTGCCACGGGAGGCTGTGTGCGTCCACGTGCAGCGCACCGAGAATAATAATTTGGATGATACGCCTCTTATTCTTGCTACTTTATTGCAGTACTTGGAAAAAGAACTGTGGATGACTGGACTGCCCTTTCCGTTTGATCTGGAGGTGAGTTCTCAAATTCAAAAATGCTATTGCAACATGTTGGTGCAGGTTCCCTTGTGTGCCCAAATAAGTTTGTCCCGAAACTTGTGTAAATCTTTCAGTTCACTTTAAACATGGCCACCCGAATTTTCTAATTTGCCTTTAATACCTGGTTAACATTTATAACTTTTGGAGTGATTTATCCATTCTGAAAAGATGACAGATAGGCAAGAAGACATGAAAGAGTGTTTTCAAGAGTGTTGTTAATTGCCTCTGTTTGCAGAGAGCCATTGATGATTGGGTCTTCATGTGTTTCTTCGTTGGGAATGACTTCCTGCCTCATTTGCCATCGCTGCAGATCAGGTGAGATAACGGGACATCCTAATTTGCCTGAAAAGTAGGGAGTTCACTTTGGACAGCTTGTCTAAACATGGGGCATCTTTGGTGATTGGCTCATCAAGAGAAAGACGTTCATGGATGGGCTTTGGCTGTGGCCTCATTATCCGCTTTGAGAAGAAATACTTCCCTCAATGATAAGCGGAAGTGGTGGAGACTGTTTGAACTTGGGTGCGCGGAGCCCAGACAAAGACTGTACATTCCTACAGAGTTTGATTTTCAGTGCTCAGAAGAGTCCGTGCAGAGCTTGCACATGAACCTGTGTAGGCATGTTGTACATGACCCAACCCAAGGGACAATGTTGTTAACATTTGCCGTCTCTTAGTCATGCATATGACCATAATGATATCCTCAAACACAATCCTCAAACATCTCCAACAGATGTGGCAGAAAGCAGGTGTATAGATTTCCTCAGAAATCTTTCTTTTTTTCTGTTACTATAAATTCAATTTAGAGCACAGTCATGTAATATTAACAGATTAAAACACATCATTTTTTTCAAATCCTTTGCGCTTCCCTGCTCAAAATCAGATGGCTGTTTGTAAAATAAAAATACCATTGGCCAGTCACATGGAGCTTGTAAGCAAAAACAGTGAAACAAATTATGTGCCTTTATTAGCAAATTTCCTATGAGAAGCACTGGTCACAATCAATCTGTATCACATGGCATTGTGGGTGTTCACCACATGGTGCCTTGAAAATGTGTCCTATGCTTAGCAGCCTCGATATGGAGACTATACATATACCTGCAGTATGCTCCATGCAGTCTCTTTTGTAGGACAACACAGCCTGCAAGTTTGAGGGTGCTTGTTGAAGGATGTGCTGAACATGCCTTTCTCTTTGAATGCACAGCCTTTGCCATGGACCATAAGCAGTGACTGTGTACATGTACATGTATGTAGTGTCCACCAGCAAGATACCAACTGTAACCTGGTCCTCCTTTTTTCTAAATTCCCAGGGAGGGTGCGATAGATAGATTACAGAAGCTGTACAAGAAAGCTGTCTACAAAACAGGTGTAAGACATCACAAGTGAAATTTATGACATTGACCCATCTTTATAAGTTGACATTCAATAGACCTGAGACATAATGATGTCATTCTTTGTGTACCTTCAAGTGGGAGCCATTTAAGGATGAGATCTGCCAAGTGCCCATAGGAAAGACACAATATGATGCCATTATGTCTTGGGTCCGTTAAAGGGTCTATGTATTAGAAGGTATTTTACTACAGTCTTGAAAATTCGCACTTATGTTTCTACTAACCTGTTTCCAATTTTGGTTTTGCTATTTTGAAAGATGTTTAGTGTCTTTCTATTTCTATGCTAATGCTATTTCCATATTCATGAGCAAAGCTGTGATGTCATTCCAGGGAGAAAGCCTTAACACTACATTGACTTGAGTGCAAAATTTATTTGGAAATTTTTGCAATTCTCTGTTTCAAATTTCCTTTGCTTATTTATTGGTTTAATACATTTCGATCAGCCAGTAAAAACTTTTTCCACATTTTTGGAGAAATGTTTTCAGTAAGCAAGTTTTGTATTCACAATTGAACAGAAAGCCCTATAAACGGAGCAGTGTCTTCACTGATTGACATCACAGCAACGGCACCCTCCGTTCTTGAGAAAAGCACAAACAGTTTTTTAGAAGTTCGCATTTCAGTACGTTTAACCTGAAAAGATTTCCTGTTTTTATTCATTGAAGATGACTGTCAGGTGGCAGCTATGTCTGAGAAAACTTCATTGCCTGAACCCTTTATCCTTTTCTTTGCTTTGTTGCTTTGCTCTTTGAATCATGCAGTACGAGCTTGTGTGACAAATCTTGTCCATTTTTTTTGAAGTTGCAATAACCCCCACAGAATGTCAGCCCACACTCTCTCTGAACCGTCAATTTTTGTCGTTTCCAGGGTTACCTGACAGACAGCGGAATTGTGAATCTTGAGAGAGTACAGCTCATCATGACAGGTACTTCAGGCTGTGGCCAACTATGTGGCTGAGGCTTTGATATTGCACACACCTCTGTGGGTAGTGACTGGAGCCGCTGCCATAGACTCGTGTGTAATGTCAAGCCCCAGTCAATTAGTAAATTCAGACAAGACCTCGTATTTGACAGACATCGAAATCAGCTGCATGTTCCAACTCATGAGTATGGACGGACTTGGTTGAAAACTCCTTGGGAGTCAAGCCCTGACCACAGCACATATTTTGAAGGCCCGATCATCAAGAGTAAAAGAATGTTTAATGGAATTCATTGCTGTGATTTGATGAAGGAAATCTAGTATGGGTTGATACCTTTATTTTGTTGGAGGGAAAAGATGGTGGCAGATGAACAGGAGGAAAGTGGGTGTCCAAATCTAGTGGTACGCCACACGGGACAATCAACAGCAGCAGAATAAATTGGCTATGTTGAGACATTAGGAGCTAATGTCGTCCCATTGAATAATGCCACTGTTAGATCTTGTGAAGGCTGGCAACCACTCGCTCCTGGTCCTCGTTTGGCCTTGGGAGATAGTTGCCCTGTTGGACCTAGTTGCAGTGTGCAGACAGGTGCCTCATAAAAGTGATGTGAATCGATGCAGAAAGAGTTCCATATGCGGATGCTACAGTACTTGACAACCGTGCATAAACCCTTTGAGACTGGTGTGAAAAGGTTTAAGTATTTAAGTAAATGACTCGGTATTTTTCCTCCTAAACTGATCTTTTCTGGACATGTTTTTGCTTTGTGATGGCTATTAACCATATGCTGCCAGGTTTGATGTGAAGTTGCATGACGTACAGTGTATACCCGGGAGATTTTCAAAATTTTCTGTTTTCAAAATTCTTTAAAAATTCATAACTTCATTTACTGGATGTTTACGCCCATGCGACTAACTGTTTGGTGCTACTCTAATCTGACTGACAACATCTTACAGACTCCCGAGTATGTCAGCCAGGCCTGCCGCCTTGAAAAAGAGCCCAGATTGTGTGGTGTTACATAATTATCTTTTGTTCCCGAAACTGGCCCAGTGCTCTCCTGGCATATTTTCAGATGCAGACCAGATTAGTGTGCAGCGGTATTGTATCACTCATCCCTGGAGCCCTTTTGTCCTCTGTGGTAATCCTGCTTGTACTGAATGCCACAAACAGTGGTATAATCATTCAAAACAATACAAGATTTCTGTTCCTATTGACAACTGAAAAAATGTTGGAAATTCCCAGCAGCTAGGTCTTTTTTTCTGAGTAAGGTCTTCTGTTACAAGGCCCAGCTCTCTTGTCCGATTTGGGCAGCCCGGCTATGCGTATAAACCCAAAGAGTCCGGTTCCGGAGACCCAGGCACCAAGTGGTTAAGTCATAGTAGGGAATAGTTACTGGCGTCCGTATATGAAACTCTTTCCACTGATGCAACAGGCACGGTGTTTTGCCAAAATGCCTTAGAGGGTTTTCTAGTTATGTGCTGGTCCTCATCCTGTCTCCCTTTATCAGATCTTGGTGAGGTGGAAGACGAGATCTTCAAGCAGAGGAGACAGAATGAACTCAACTTCAGACGGAATCAGAAAGAGAGGAACAAACGCATGAAACTGGTAAATAGGATCCAGAGTGCACGGGGGGGGGGGGGCAAAGGGGATCCAAAGTATTCCAGAGGGCATGTCTCTCTAATAGGACATGTTTGTCCTTCGCTCAAATTGGATCGGTAGCCTACCTTTTGTGAATGGTAGAACCTAACGCCAAATGGCAGAAATGGCCAGAACCAAACAATTCTATGGAGGATATGTACCTCTCGGGAATGAAAAAAAAATGATCCTGCTGAAGATACCTTAAAATCCAGGATGTGGGGCTTCAAAACTGCTGTATCACACAGCATATGTTCAGTGACTTCAAATTTATTGGCTGTACTTGGTTGAAAACCCTCCCAAATTCTCTGCTTGGGAGGTTGGCAAGAAGCCTCCAGGAGAGTGGAATATGATTTTTATTTTGAATTTAGTTCCAATTCTAAACTTGCAACGCGTGCAAGGCTTTCTGTCAGGTTTCATATGAATCAGATGAGAAGCCATCGTGATCACTAGGTTATGTCCAAGATAGCAATGTGTTATCTGCATTCTCTGCCACAGATGCCTGTATTTCCACAGTGCCCCTCACTGATGTCACTCACATTGATAGAAAACTAGGCCTTGTCAAGTGTGCTGTTATTACTTAAAGCAGTGGACATCACAGTCTATCTTCAAGCAAACTTGAATTCTCATTTCTGATTGGTCGATCCGTGGCAACAAACAGTGTGGCATGTAACTGTGCTGCGTAGTCCCTTTCAAACCCCGCGTAATGCCCAGTTCTGACTCAACGAACTGTACTGTTTTTACGCTAAAAGTGAAATGCACAACTGCAAAATTTACTGTAAATTCAAAGGTGGCACTTTTGCGCGCATAGGCCCCTTTAACATCTTTACCGCACGTCAAGTTTGCTTGAAGATAAATTTCTCTCACTCGCACTCATGTGATAACTATTCTTCTAATATCCCTTATCTTGAATTGCTAGTAATTTGTGAGTGTTATTATCTCTGCAGGACCATAACTTTGTCAAGGGAAGCTTGCTTGAGCCACAGGTCAGTCTAAACATTAATGCCTGTGTTTCTGCACTGGTTGGTACATGTACATCTGTTGTCAGAAACCAAGAATACAGAAATATTCTGTGTGTTCACTCTCCGTATGCATGACGCCAGTCCCTAGACCTTAAGCAAACACAGAAACGCTACATTTAGCATTCTGCACAAGTATGTGTGTGATGACAATTTTAGTTTTAGGTGGGCTCAATGAAATGAGCGCTAATAACAATATGGGTGCTTCAACATAGTTGGCCGCCAATAGTTTGCAAGAGTTGGCCACTGTTCGCATTGGACGTTTGAATGGAGTGACACGTCTGGAGTGACGTGTCGACCAGCAATGCGCATTTGGAAAGGGTCGACACATTTCGCACCTTGTGATTGGCCAATGCGTTGCAAACTCTTGGTGGCGCACTATTATGAAACGCTCGTATTCTCATAGTTGGTGCTTATATTCTACGTGCAGCCCAGCCTAACAGTATGAGTCACCAGTCATCACATCACCAGTTTTTGCAATGCGGCTCTTTTAACAGAGTCCCAGTGGAAGTCAGTTGAACTCTCAACACTGTCAGCCAGGATATGTCTGTATTTATTGAGATGCCAAATAGTGTCAGATTGCAGTGTGTAGCTTAAACAATTTCTTCACGTTGCAAGAGGAACCCCAGTGTTTTTTTTTACAAGTAAAATGACTACACTTCCTTCTTATTTTTAATTCTGTTGCCTTCATTGAATGGACCTCCGCGTGCAAATTTGAAGTGCACAAATACAGTTGAACACAAGTAACACGAGCACGCTTGAGATGAGATCGCGCTTAAGATGAGCATATTTCTTCAGTCCCCTTCAAAATGTACACATTCCTATGACAGGAAACTTACTTAATACGAGCTATGCTAAGACGAGAACTCGGACAAGACAAGCACGAGTACAATTGAAAGGCATCTTCAAAAGCTTAATCCCAGTAATCCCAGTAAGTGATTCCTGATGGAGTGCGTCAGTAGTTCTCCAAAAATGATAATCTGCCCGGCAATTTGCGCGGCGGTTTTGACAACAATGACTTAGCGACCCTGTTGCTTGTGCCACTAGATGGGGCTTTATTCTAGACGACAATAGGTGTTGTGATGTCGCGGTATGAAAGGAGTTTTGATCACAGCGGGTCTGGTCCGAAAAAAAATGTTTTCGTTTTTTTTAGCTGAACGTGAACAATTATGGGTGAACGTGAGTTGAAAATAGATCCCCTCCCGCCAATTACAAACCAAAGGAAATTCCCCAATTTCAACGCCCTCTTATGTCCGGTCCTTATATGAACTGGTTCTCAAGTTAATTAAACCTTTATTTACGTGCAACGTCGGGTACCAGTTTACAAGGAGTGCTTTGCCTGGCCACGCCACGTCCGCATGGTGCAGGGCGGCCAGCCCTGATTTAAAATTTATTACCAAGTTAAAGGCTGTACATCGAATACTAATCCACTGCATATACTGTATTGTATGGTACATGTTGGCCTGCAGCACACTTACATTGCCGTAGTGTATAAGAATGCTTGCTGGTGCATCACACCAGGCTTGCGCTCTATGAATGGGATAAGTGTCAACATGTATAACACGAGGTTTACCGTAAGACGAGGTTTTTTGGAGAGTCGCTTCAAGCTTGTATTAAGTGTGTTTGACTGTGTACTGATAATTGTGTTTGGGTTATCACAAGATGCATATAAATCACAGGACTTAATGGTTCCAGTGCAAAGCCTGTGGTACAGCTGACGACCAATATGACAAACTGTACATCCGAGGGGCTCTATTCCCCAAAATTAATTTCCTTAACAACTAAGGAACCAATAAGCCTTTTGTGAGTTAAATTTAAATAAAATCTGGTACACTGGGTCCTTTAAATTCATGTGAACTCAAAACATTTGAATTCTCCATACTAAAGACACTGTTGCTATACCTATGCTTTACCTCGTGATTTGGGGCAGTTTGCTAGGTTATGTAAGACCTTGCACCAATACAATGTTGTCATGGATAAGAAGGGCACAAAGGAACCAGTCCATTCCACAGATGTATCACTGTGCAAAAGTTTGCCCCAAATCACGAGGTATAGCAACAGTGTCTTAGTCTGGGGAATTCAAATTGTTGTGTTAATGTGCAATCAGATAATTCGGTGTCATTGCTCATGTCTACTCCTCCCTTTGATGGTATCTGATGGATCCTTATAAAATAGTCGTCATGTAAAGTGAAGAAATCCATTAACTGTTTTGTTTACATTTTCCTATGCAGGCCATTTCACGGAATGTTACACGGACAAGTGCCAGGGAGATTGTCAATGCCCGGCATAGCAGTACTGTATCCCAGCAAGCAAACGTCGTAAGTCGCTCCCTTCTATCACTCTTCTGAATCCGAAGACGTTGATTGTAATCACCCATGGTCTGGATGACCTGTAGGTAACGGCCTTCCAACACTGACCTTTTTTTTTCACTAGGCAGCAGCCCAGGCTCTGAAAGCAACCTTTGCATCATCTGGGAGCACGGGGAACCAATCCAGGGACGGTTTAGGGATGAAGCGATCCCATGACGATGAGGAGGAAGATGAATACGAGAAGCTGGACAAGACAGACACGGTCAAGTGAGGATAGTGCCTGAGTAGAGATGATACGCTTTATGCATAGAGATATAATAGATGACTGGAGTGCTAACTGCACATTCTGCGCATGGAGAAGCTTAGACACCATCTATATCCCTAATTGCTTTGGCACTTTTGGTGAGGATACACCCTCAGCCAGGATTGAGGATGGTTAGGGATATTGTGCCAAAGTGAATAGGTCACATGCACAGTTATGTGTGTAAAAGGCATTCGTGGGAGAACCAGTGCATAAACCAACCAGAGTGCATACCCCATTCGCTTGCACTGCATTTCCTGGTTCAAAATGACATCACACTTCTGTACGCCATTGCCCAGACATTTTAAGTTCATGTCCATGTATTCAGAGTATAATGAAATAAGACGGGACAAATTTGGAATGATGTAGTCTTAAAGCAATATGTGCGTTAAACGTATGCAAGTAACAAATAAGCACGTTTTCTGACAGTGTTACAAGCCCATGAGGCAATATGTTAAAAGCCTCAGCAAATTCATCTACAAGGCATCGGTGTTGGTTAGTTTGCTTTGTTTACACTGAGCAAAACGAAAGGCTCATTTACTGTCAGTAATAGGTTTTGGGCTATACTTGCTGTGTTGATGCATTGTTTTAGCATGCAGAGGCAGAAATGCAAATTGCTGCACAAAAACCGTACAAAATTTTGAGTTTTTCTTTTTTTTTGTGCAGTTTTCACTTTGCTTAGCGAGTTGGTGATTTGCAATTTAATATAGCTCTGGGTTTGTGACATCAGGTCCTGTGAGTACATGTATGTGCATAGTAACGTTAGCCTCATCTCGTGTGCTTCACTATCAAGTTTCTCCGAAAAAGGTTACTGTACTTTAAGGTGTTTTTTTATGACGATGCTTGCAGTACTTAACATATCAAATGGTTGGCGTGATTGTGCACATAAGTCAGTGCAACATGACCCAGATGAGTTTTGTAAACTGTTATCACATGTTCTAATGTTTAGGAAAAAAGGCGCAAAATTCTAAAAAATAAGAAAACAAGGTTTGTTTCTCAAATGCTGGGTGTAAAATAGAAAAGCTCTTCAAGATGTTGTTTGTTTTGTAGGCTATGGGAGGATGGATGGAAGGAGAGATACTACGAGCACAAGTTTGATGTCCCAGGAGACGATGAGGAATTCTGCCACAAAGTGGTAAGCTGACAGGACAGTCATTTCTACTTCTTCAGATGGTTGAATGTTAGCCCAGTTGATGTTGACATCTACTGAGAAACACCCACTTCTTGTTACTAATAAAAAACATGGAGTGGCATTTTGTGTTGATTGATTGTATAACATTTCTTGCTAGTTGTTATGCTTTGATGCCTTTCTGTACAGTTCAAAGTCCTGAAGTGGTAAACAAACACCGAGCAGTTATCCTTAGCACTTCTGTATTCAGTGCAACCCTTCAGCACCCTAAATTCAAATTTTCTGTTAGCTAGGCTACTCAGACCACTTAAGCTGAAGAGGACTGGGACATTATAAACAGTGCCACTGAGAGCTGAACTCGGTGCATCCTAGTTTGTCCCTGTTGCATTCTGAATAGGGCTTTATTACTTGCTCTGCTAACTATAGCAACTATCTTTTTAGAGTGCCAGCAAAGAAATTCTTTGTTCTGCCATTTGTGACAGGATTTACCTTTGCACATAAAACCAGAATTTCTTTTTGATTACTGTTTTGTGCCTTGGTAAGCAGACATTCTTCCCTTACGGTGAGCAGAGCCATCAGTCAGTGCCAGATTTAGCCATATACTGCATGAATAACTAGCTAATCAAAATGTGCCACCTGTTCATGATTAGCTGTTAAATGCTGTTCTGTCTTGCTCATGACTTGTAATTCCAGATGGCTCTGTGTAAACTGTCACTTAACCACTTGCCAGGGATCCCGGTTTCGGGTGCCTTGGGTTTGTACCTAAAGCTGGGGTGCCCGAAATCGGACAAGAGCTAGGCCGTGTAACAAAAGACCGAGCTGCTGGGAATTACCAACATTTTTTCAATTGTCAACAGCGGAGGTAATCCGTTGTTTTGAAAGATTATACCACTGTTTGTGGCATTCAGCGCAACCGGATTACCACTGGCGACAAAAGTAATCCAGCATTTCAGTGATGAGCGATACAGTACTGCTGCACGCTAATCTGGCCCGTATTGAAAAGACGCCAGCAGCGTACTGTGCCAGTTTCAGGAACAGAAGAAACTTCAGTAACATCACACAATCTGGGTTCTTTTTATAAGGCTACAGGCTTGGCTGAAATAAATCAATAGATGTTGTCTGTCAGATTAGAGTGGCCACCAGACAGTCCTTGGTGTGGGTGTAAATGTCCAGTAAATGAAGTTATGAATATTTAAAGAATTGAAAATACCTTTTGAAGGTTTTGAAAATCACCCAGTTTTAGACACTTTATTTCCTAAGGCACCCTGCAGCAAGTGGTTAATTGACATTATTTCTTTCTTCACACCCTAGGCAGAGGCCTACATTCTTGGGATGTGCTGGGTACTTCGGTACTACTATCAAGGCTGCCCATCTTGGGATTGGTACTATCCGTATCACTATGCGCCGTTTGCGTCCGACTTCAACGAGGTGGCCAAGATGCCGCATGAGTTTGAGTTGGGTACCAAGCCGGTGAGTGTGCAGGACAACATAAGGGCATTTGGGGTGTCTGCGGCCATTCTCCACTTTCGCATATAAAAATGGCAAATATATTCAAACTTTGGCTGTAATCCAAAGCAGTTGGCGAGGAAAAAAAACACTGATATTTGGCACTGCGTTAGAAAAGAAAATGGCTGCAAAAACGTGCATTTGGCTAAAATGTTGGCAACTGTGTAAAATTTGTGTAAAACCCAGCGTTTGATAAAACAAACTCATCAGTGATTGTCTCATTGTTTTCTTTTTCCCTATCTTTATTCTCTTAGTTCAAGCCTCTAGAACAGCTGATGAGTGTCTTCCCCGAAGCCAGTGGCAACTTCCTACCCCCGTCTTGGAGAGAACTCATGGGCAGCATTGTAAGTCGTAGCCTTATGTGAAAATTTCTGCAGTTGACATCTTGTTGCGTCAGGCATTTGCCTGTTGATATGCCTCCATATTCAGAGACATAATCCAAGAATGAAACTGTAAAACTGCCAGGGAAGTATGTAAGATACACCTTCATACAGACTATATGCAGTGGTTCTCATGGTTACAATTCAAATACTGTGCTGTGACGAGCCCCCAGTGTTGTACTGTGTTGTCATTGTTGTGAGTATATTGGTAACTAGTCGGTGTACTCCCATCATGCAGGATTCACCAATCATCGACTTCTACCCTACCAACTTTCGCATTGATTTGAATGGCAAGAAGTATGCATGGCAAGGTAATGAGCTTAACAGTCACTTTTAAATAGAACATTATGCTTGTCTGTGTGATGAGTTGCAGTTATTAAAACTTTTTGTCATATCTTTGTAATGGATTCCAAGTGTCATTAAATGGGTTTTTGTCACCAAGTAAAACTCCTTCGGAAACTGACTAGGCTCACTGACTAGGTTAAGCTGACTAGGCTAAGCTGACCAGGCTCACTGACTAGGTTAAGCTGACTAGGCTAAGCTGACCAGGCTCACTGACTATGTTAAGCTGACTAGGCTAAGCTGACTTGGCTCACTGACTTGGCTAAGCTGACTAGGCTAAGCTGACTAGGCTAAGCTGACTAGGCTCACTGACTAGGCTAAGCTGACTAGGCTAAGCTGACTAGGCTAAGCTGACTAGGCTAAGCTGACTAGGCTCACTGACTAGGCTAAGCTGACTAGGCTTTAATCAGTGGCCTTTTTTTCCGAATCTGGGCTTTATGTTTGTCTTTGGCCTCATCTCAAACCACTTTTGAAATTATATAATTGGGACCAAATTAAAGTACCCCAAACTTTGGCCTCAGATCAGAGATTGTTGATGCACATGTAACAAGATGTGGAACTGCATTGAGCTTTAGGTTCAAAACTAGTGGACTAAAATTGTGAAAATGAAGGCTGAACATGAAGATAGAGGTGAAATTTGGAACCCTTCCCCCCCATGGTAGACTGAGCAAAGACATCAAATGTTATCTTTTTTTCACACACAGGTGTTGCCTTGTTACCCTTTGTGGATGAGAAGCGCTTGTTGGATACGCTTAAAGAAGTTTATCCCAACCTCACCAAAGATGAAAGTAAGAAACTGTTCCATTTTTTTTTAATGATCTAAAGACCTCATTGGTTGTACTTATACATCCCACAAAACAAGATTTTTTAGGCATTTGTTTTTTCCTAAGTGTAAAACCTTTAATAGACCTCCCAACCCCCTCAATTTTGGCAGCAAATTTCCGCTTTTTCACTTTGTTTCCATCATTCCAATTTCGCTTCTAAAATTTCCACCAAATCACAATTTTGACACACCTATCATTTACCGGAAAATGTCCATGTTATCTTGTGCGTGTACTGTACCGCAATGCTCCACGTTCGTGGCAGCGCCCTCTTTTGACGCGTACTTGCCGCGAGTTGGATGTGATCACGTGATAAAATGCCTTTTATCGACAAGCTACATTGTAATGAAGACTGTATGCGTTGCCTGGTGCCAGGTTTTGCTCAGAACCACAGCTAAGAACATTTGGATCCAAGAGTAAGCACTGCTGTGAAATCAACCATGATCATGTCAAGTGTGCAACCACCACACAATGAATTTTGTGGTTAATCAACACATTTAAAATTGAGGTAAAAACTCTTCATTTTTGGAACCTAAGTGTAGAAATAACACTGACAAAATAAAAGTTCACATAAATTTATACCAGTTTTGTTGAGAGTAATTTAGAATTTGTTATAAATTATAAAATGTTGAGTCACAGTCGACGTAAATGGAATTGAGGTAAGGCTGTGCCAAATATCCGAATATCAATCCATATCGAATATTCGAATAGTTTTTTTAATCTGAATATTCGAATGCAAAATTCATAAAAAAGAAGGGAGAATTTTCTTTTGTTTTAATTGAGAAAAATTTGCAATGTGGAGGCTTGTTCCAAGCAGATTCAAATGAAAAGCCACAGAAACCTTAAAATAATTCAAAAAGTCATTATTCATTAACAAATTTGAAAAGGAACATATATTTTCAACAGTACAAGAAGTATTATTTGTCTCTCAAATCTTGCTAAATTGTGGCTGGAGATACCTTTAGACATGAAAAGCCATTATGGTGATTATAGTGTACAAATGTGTCCATTATTGCAACTGATTTTGTATGTAGGTTTTTCCTTCATCTGGCAGTCGGTATGACTGAACATTCAATCACAGTGAAATTGAATATTCAAATAGTGAATTATTTGAATTGACCCAGCCCTACGGGACATGTGCCCGGGTGGTTAGGGTTTGTAGCTTCTGATTTTAGGGTGGGAGGTTCAAATCCAGTTGGTGGCAGCATGTTGTACCTCTCTCTACCCAGGAGTAAATGGGTACCAGTGAGGGCGGACACAGTTATGTTTAGCTGTTTGGGCCAAAATGGCTGTATTAGCCTAGTATACTCCCAGAGGAGCTGAGATCGTTTCAGGAATGTTTTCAGATGATATGAGCCCATTGTGCAGGGGGATAATTATAAGCGCATGGATACATGTACATTCCGTGATATGAGCTACATGTATATAAGAACTGACTGTTATTATTATTATTAAAGCGAGGTTTGGAGCCCAAAATAGTCTGGAACCATCCCATTCAAGAGATTACATTGAATACGATAGATTCAGGAAAAAGATAACAATGGCTTCCCCATGAATAAGGTGTATTTGTGAATCACCCTCCATTTTTGCAGAGAAAAGGAACAGCCTGGGACCGGATCGCCTGTTTGTCCATAAGAACAATGCCTTGTTCTCGTTTCTCAAAGAACTCTATGACTCGGATGCCTTGGATAAGGTAAGTACATGCATGCAGGCTCCACACAGGGATTGCAGAAGGTGTTGTTTTGTGTTGGAGTCAAGTTCCAAGTACTGGTATCAAAGTCACAGGCCAGGGTCCCCATGGTCATGGAAAAGTGCTGGAGAAACAGTCATCCTGAAACGTCATGGAAATCAAGATCATGTAGTGATTGTTTTTGATTGGCAGCTTTTAATGTGGTAACAGAATAATAAATTAACAAGTGATATCCTTGTCAGTCTGTGTACAGTAGTGGCTATGGCAGTCTTCCCTTTCATATTAAATACCAAACTTTTTTTCTCTGTAAAATGGCATTTTTAAAATGTCATTGAAATCGTCACATTTAGTCTTGGAAAGTCCTTGAAAAGTCCTGAAATCTGGTTTTCAGATTTCTGTGGAGCCCTCCAGCTCTGTATCGTCATTCCCAGAAGAGCAAGTCGATTGCTGTAACCTCCACCCACCCCCCATGTTAGTAACCATTCATACCATTAGATAGAGAAAGGCGAGTGGCTTTTCTGAAGAGCCTAACCCAAGGTCTCACTTCACAATCGGCTGCTAAATTCAAGTCACAAATTCCCCCCCCCTTTGGTGACTGAGAAAGCCAGTGTAGTATCCTTGGTGTCATAGTAATAATTTTTTTTTATGGATAGCTCCCAAGACTTATTTCTTCAAGGCTAAAATCACTGTTCCTGTGGTGTACTGGGCTCTAGTAGAACTAGAGTGTGGTGGTTTAAAACTGAAATTGACGATAGAACTTTCTTCTTTTGTCAAGAAATTTACTCCAACTTTGTTGACATTTGTCAATTTTGGACTCGCTACTTTACTGGGTGGAGTACTCGTTCCGGATGTCATAGGTTCCACTCTAAGTTCAGTCAATATCTTTGCACAGCACGGCATTGCTTCAGTTTCAAATCACAGTTTGTTGATTTCTCTTGCTCCAGGACAAAATCAATGTCGACGTGGACCCCTCCCTAGCCAATGGCATGAGAGGCACCGTTGGTTATGATGAGTACATCTGCTTCCCTGGAGGGTAAGTGGTCAGTGCGATGCTGTATTGAATAGGTTTTGGATTGTAGGACTATCCAGTCTATGCAGGAAAAAAAATTGCATGTTTTCACAAAGCGATGACATTCCTTTGGTGGGAGCTCTTGGTATGTGCGCGTGCACACTGGTTCATGTGTATTTGGTACTGGATGCACTGAGCTGGCGTGACCAGTGGAATGTAAGGTGTGTTCGGTACTGGATGCACTGAGCTGGCATGA